CTTGTCGCAGCCTACAGGTTTGCTTACTGTGAGCAGTGTGCGCGCGCCTATGGGGAATGTTCCAGTGTGTGTGTGTGTGTGTGTGTGTGTGTGTGGTACAGTGATGCTCTCTCAACACATAGAATTGGCGAAAGATAAACCCCTTTGATAAAGGTAAATCCGGATTTTTGGGGGGAAGGGTGGGGGCGGGGAGGGTTCTGGACTCTGGAAAGATTGATTGTGAAGGAGGTGTGTGTCGTGTCGCAGCCTATGGGTTTGCTTACTGCGAGCAGTGTGTGCGCGCCTATGGGGAATGTTCGAGTGTGTGTGTGTGCTCGCACGCGCCCCTCTCTGTGTCTGAGTGTCTCTGCCAGCTGCCTCGGAGTAAGCTTTTTGTGAAGAGTGTGTGTCTGCAGCTTACCGATTTGAGCTGTGTGAGTGTGTGTATGTGTCTAAAGCCTTCCAGATTGTTGATAGTGAGGAGTGTGTGTGTGTGTGTGTGTGTGTGTGTGTGTGTGTCTCAGTAGCATCAGGGATTGTTATTGTGAGGACTGCTGTGTGTGTGTGTGTGTGTGTGTGTGTGTGTGTGTTTCCGCAGCTTCCGAGGTTGGGGGTGGGTGGGTGGTGGTGGGGTTGGAAGGGGCTGCAGGGTATTTTGTGTGCAGAATGCTTGAGAAGCTAAGGTGGGCCTTGACCATCCCACTGAGTGCGTAGCCCATATTAGGAAACGAGTCCGCCTGTTGTTCCTTTTCTCTAGGTATACATGGCCAGACTGAACAACATGGAGGCTTGATGGCTGCCCTGGGCTTTGGGCAGGATCGAGCCTCCATTTATGATTCTTGCCTGAGCCTCGTATTGCGCATAAGATAAATGTCTACTGTTGCTTTTCTAATTCCTACTGGATTTAGACTGGAAGCTAGACCTTTACCCTCTCCCTTATCTACCCATCTCTTATCCATTCCTTTGTGTGTTTGCTCACGTCAGTAAGATTCCTGGGTTCCTATTTTGCTCAGAGACTTGCCATCCACTACGGCCATTGTGCATTGATGCCCATTTTGTCCCCAAGGTGGAAGCCCTCCCAGTTGGCCACTGTGTGCATTTGACACCTCCCAGCAGTGCTTTAAATGGTGGGCTGCTAGCTGAAAGGTAAGTCCCCCCCCCTTGGAAAAGATGACGCCTTTTTCAATAAAAATTTATAGTGGTTCTTGGGTTACTTTTGAGCCGATAGCCCCCTCTAGAAGGAAAGTAAGGATGTTTTCCCTGCAGCACAGATTTGAGGAGTAGAAGAGAAAGGTCTGAAAACTAATATGCCACAGCATCTGTTGCCCCCGCAAAGGGCCCTCCCCTCTTCTACTTTACCTGCTTTCTTCTGTGAGCGTCACGCTGCTGACGTTCACCCAGTAGCCTCACTTGCAGGGTGCCCAATTGGAAATTGACCAGCAAACCGAGATAAACCCTCACTTTTGTATGAGCTCAATTGTCACCACTGGAGAGGGTGGTCTGATGGGGCTGGGAAGAGACAAAGCCTCCTGTCGTGCTTCCAGTTCACTGAGCTGAGACAGGAAAGAGAGCCCCCACCCCACCCATTTGGTTTCAATAAAGAGTGCAGAACTGCACACACACCCATCATCCCATCCCCTGGTTTGGGATCTATATTCTCAATCTGCCAGCCTCCTCTACGTAGCATATTGATGGGGGGAGGAAAAGCTCCTTGGAGGGCCAGTTTATAAGATTGGAAGTCAGGTTCTGGTTCTAGAATCACACCCTCTGGCTCCACCCACCTCTCAGGGCCCTTTCACGTTTGAGCAGGAGGAATGCCAGGGAAGATTCCATAGAGCTCTCAGAGAGGATGTCTGGGAAGCTGTGAGGATTTAAGAGGTTTCACTTATCTGCTTAATCCCCAATTCTGGAATAGGGAGGGTTGGAATCTGAACGCTAGAAAGCCGTGCATTACCTGATGTTCTTCTGCCATTGCCAACAGATTCTCTTGCTGTCTGCTCAATGCCCCTCCCTCTTTCCATAGGGGGTTCTGCTCCAGGAGGAGGTCTCTGCGGGGGACCCTTGCTGTGTGAGGACAGCCTGGCACAGGTGAATGAGGTACATGAGGGAGGAAAGGGGGTATTTAATGATGTTCTGAAAATAATTCCTTTCTTAATCCTTGGCGTACAATTGTTTAAACTCTTCGCTATGAATTAGGTGAGGGTATACTGTCTCTGCCTGATTTTCAAATGCAATTGCCTGTGTTCTCTGGCTCACACCTTATGTTTTCGTTCACGGGAAGAAGTGTGGCCTCCTCTGGGAAATGACTGGCTTCAGGATTGGGGGAGGGTGTTCTGATAGACTAGGTGGAGGGGGATGGCTCAGGAATCATTGGAGAAGAAGCACACGGGTGGCAGGCGTTTAACATGCCCATGACTATATGAAAGCAGATGTGGTAACCCTTGGCATAGGGGCTGCTAGCCTCTCTCGCCTCTCTCTCTCTCTCTCTCTCTCTCTCTCTCTCTCTCTCTCTCTCTCTCTCTCTCTCTCTCTCTCTCTCTGTTTTCTGTCCTGTCTGTATACCTATCACTAGATCTCTCCCTTTCCTCTAGATACCCATCAGTGGTAATTCTCTTGAAAGTTTATTATGAAAGAAGACAAACTCTTCCTTTGCATCCAGGGTGGGTGTGAGCACGAGCGCCCCCTGTTGATTGGGGATATGGGCGTGGTTTGTCTGCAGTGGAGGTGGAGCAGACCTTTCTTGGACCCATTGCCCTTCAGCTTTCTAGACCCCTTGCCCTCTCTCAGGTGTGTGCCCGCAGAGGGGGGGCGGTGTGGTCCAAGATTGTGCCTGGACGGTAATTGGTAAATATTGGGGTAGAGAATCCGGAGGGAAGAGATGTTTTGTAAATCTGGGCCATGGAGGTGATTGAAAGTGGGCTCTCGAATTGGAAAGGCAGGGTTGGGATAGAGAGGCCAGAGTGCGGGTCTGTAGCAAATACTCAGAACCCCTAGTTCATTGTGTATGTTTGTCCACAGGTCTGCCTGTGGGTCTCGTGGACAGCTTGTCAAAATCAGAAGCAAGGAAGGAGGATAACATTGCACCGGATCAGTGCAGGTTGGTGTGAGAATGAGGCCTGCGCAGCCAGACCTGCAGGGTGCCTTGTGGCACAGAATGGCCGGGTGCTCCTTAACCTCTCTTGCTCTCAGCAAGCTTCTGCACTGCAGAGAAAGGAGTGTGGTGGGCTCTAGGCATGACATGGTTCAGCATTAGTGGGATTGTGGGAGGGATGCAACAAGGAAGCGGGGCTTGCTACTGGTCTCCTGGTACCGCACAACCAGTGTGTCCTGTCCCTCTCAGTGACTTTCTGCATAGAGCAGTGCACTTGGAAAACTCTCAGAGCCGCATTTCATTCTTTCAGGTTCAACTCCAGTGATATGCTTGGTGGCCTTGGCGTGGTAGAAGATCCTCACTCTCAACTGCCCTGCACCCAGGAACCATCATCTTCTCCCACCTCAGTGTACTTCTGCCCTGTCTGTCTGTCTCATTAACAGCAGCTGTGTGTCTGGATAGGGGTGATCTGCCCCTGTTGAACTGACATTTGACTCTTCACTCTTGCCCTCAAGGTTGTAGCTTGGCTCTGTCAAAGAGTGTTTAAGACACCGACCTGGGACACGTTGAGTACCAAAGTCAATACTGAATAGGGTTCTCTAACTAGATTACAGCCATGGCGGAGAGTAAGACTAGGGCTCAGAATAGAATGAGAAAAGGGTCTAGGAAGGAGGGTAGTGGCCTAGGCAGGTCTGCAGCCAAGCATCAGGCCAAGGCACGATTTGAGACAGATGCAGCAGTCGGGGCTGGGATGCAAACAGTGTCTAAGAATAAAGTTGCTAAGAAGAAAGGAAGAGGCTCGTATAAAAATCAGGTGGTTACTAACCAGAAGAAAGGCTCTCTGCCTCAGAATCAGGTGGTTGCTCAGCAGAAGGAAGGTGCTGTGCCTAAGAATCAGGCGGTTGCTCAGCAGAAGGATGGCGCTGTGCCCAAGTATCACATGGTCGCTCAGCAGAAGGAAGGTGCTCTGCCTAAGAATCAGGTGGTTGCCCAGCAGAAGGAAGGCGCTGTGCCCAAGAATCACATGGTCGCTCAGCAGAAGGAAGGTGCTGTGCCTAAGTATCAAGTAGTTGATCAGCAGAAGGAAGGTGCTGTGCCCAAGTATCACATGGTCGCTCAGCAGAACGAAGGTGCTGTGCCTAAGAATCAGGTGGTTGATCAGCAGAAGGAAGGTGCTGTGCCCAAGTATCACATGGTCGCTCAGCAGAACGAAGGCACTGTCCCTAAGTATCAGGTGGTTGATCAGCAGAAGGAAGGTGCTGTGCCTAAGAATCAGGTGTTTGCTCAGCAGAAGGAAGGTGCTGTGCCCAAGTATCACATGGTCGCTCAGCAGAAGGAAGGTGCTGTCCCTAAGAATCCAGTGGCTGGCCCGTCTAGGAATAAGGTAGTTACTGAACATGAAAGAGCCTTCTCAGAGCTGAAGGCTATGGGGATAGGCGCGCCTAAGCCTAGGCCTAAATGCAGTGCCAGGTGTATGCACGACAGGATTCCAGACATTCATTCCTTTCGTGACGAGGAGGCCCTTCTGATGTCCTTTCTTGCTGCTGTGGCTAGAGCCAGTGTTGTAGCCAGGAGTGCCCCCCAAGAAAAGACTGACAGCGATGCCTGGTTCTGGTCTGGGGAAGAGCCCAGTATTGGTGCCTGGTTCTGGGGAGAGGAAGAGGCTGATGGGGGGTCCAGTTCTAGGAACGAAGATGAAGCTGTTCATGGGGCGTCCGCCTCTGTGGCGGAGTTGGGTATGGAGTCTGCTGCTGGGGCTGACTGCCCACCTAGGACAGAGGCAGAGGAGGAGGACGCCATTTTTGGAAGCTGGTTTTGGGATGGAGACGAGACTAGTTTTGACCCTAATCCTAGACCCGTGTACAGGATAATTAAGCCGCAGGCTGAGGATGAATTTGATTGGCTTAGGGATTGGGACCCTTCTGCCATCCCAGCACTGTTGGCATTCGCATCCCAGCTGCTCATGAGCACAAGGCCTCCGTCATACATTGCCCTGTCCTCAGAGAGGAAAAAACCACGAACTTTGCCTGCAGAAGAAGTCAGCCTTTGTCAGGGCACTAACATATGCCTGCAGTCTATTCAGGAGTACCCACTTGATTCTGAGATTTGCACTCAGACCATAGAGGAGATCAGGCGCGAACTGAGGATCAGGAAGTTGAATGGCATTAAGCCGTTTTCTTGCCCTTGCAAAATGGAATGCTGCGTGGATGCTGAGGAATTTGAAAGGCTCATTAGCTTGCTTCAGTCGAATGCTGATCCCCTCATTCATAAAATCGCTCAAATTGCGATGGGTGTCATCAAAGTTAATCCATTTGTCCAGCAGCTCGTTAATGAAATGGGGGTGCTGACTGTGATTGAAAGCTTCCTGGATTTTCAGACCCCTGACGTAACCAAAAAGGCTGAAATTACCCTGAATCCCATTTCTGTGGAGGAAAGGCAGCGCATGATTGAATTGCACGTTGTGCACATGTGTAAGGAAGCGGTGTCTTTCCCCTTGAACTCCCCAGGGCAGCGGTCTGCGTTGAAGGAATTGGGGCAGCTTACTACTGACTCTGACCTTCACTACATTGTCACTATTTACCTTACCGACCTTTTCAATACACTGGCCCAGGGAAACCGTAAAACCAGGAATATCGTTTTGAAAATCCTTTTGAATATGTCAGAAAATCCAATTGCAGCAAGAGACATGATTGACCTTGAGTCACTGTCAGCGCTGAAGGTGATCTTTAACCAGAAAGAGGCCAAAGCCAACCTGGTTACTGCCGTGGCCATCTTTGTTAACATAAAGGAGCATATCAGAAAGGGATCGATTATCGTTGTCAATCCCTCCAGTTATAACGAACTCAAGGCCATGTTCCGTGAGGTTAAAACGATTATTGAAAAGTTGTAAAATGTACCAGGAGTAAAAGAGAGAACGTGGAACAAGCTCCAAACTTTCATAGGCCGAATATTCCCATTGAGCCTTGTCTCCTGTGACAGTGTTAACATCACACATTGCCTCTTTGACGTGACGTTACTTGTGAAAACCTGTGTGTCTGGGCTTGATTGTATTTTGGGCATCCTGTGAGTCTTACTTCTTGAACTACAAATGCCTGCTGGTGTTGGTCCTGTCTAGTTTGGGTGGTTTTTAACGCTGTTAAGCTTGTGAGCCAATCATGTAAGTAAGCGAACTCGTTCTTCAGTGTCTTCGTAGCTCTTTGTGGATTCATGTGGCAAAACCAAAAAGGCTATAGCTAAGTGCACTGTCTTGGTACTCCGAGGAAGCGAAGGGAACAACGATTTGCCCCTGTTCCGTCTGCATCACACGACTCATGCTGTAACCGAGAAAGAGACCTGGATCTCGGCCACAGTGTGGTGCTGGTTTCTTGGCTGTACGTTCTAGCACCGCACTCTTTCCTCTTCTGTCGTTCACGCTGTTTGGTGTCAAAGTCATCTCTTCCAGAAAAGAGGCTGGAGGCGAGGAGAAAGGTAGTCTGCGGTGAATATATGCGGTCTGGGCTACAGGAGGTGCCCAGACTCTGTTGAATGAGGAAGGTGGAGCTTGGGAGTCATCAGCAAGTGAAATGTTGTGTCTATCCTTCATTTACCCCCAAGAACCGACATCATTGTGCACATCGTTTGATAGCCTAGCCTCCCCTTAAAAGGGCCATTGTAAAATCGGTGCCTAATGTGTGTGCATGTAACTATTTACAATATTTCTCCTGTGTGTCCTGTGAAAGGCTGGAGGGCTCCACCTTTGACTAGGAGGAAAGCCCCTTTCTGCATTTGTACCGGCTCAAAGTGTACCGGCACGAGTCAACTTCTTCTGAGATCGTGGGCCCAGAAGTGGAGAACAAGAATGTTGGGAGAGGGGCTGCTGTTCAACCCACAAGACAGTGATTTCTGGAGGTCCGTATGGTCCAGAAAGTATTGCAAGGAGTTTTGGCCTATGGCTGAGTTCTGTAAGTCTTATGGCGGGAAGTACAGCCCATGGTCTGAGCTAAAGGGAAAATCTCTCTATCTGAAAATATTGGGTTATATGCTTTACGATTTTTACACAATTAAGAAGGTAAAAGGAAATCCTCCTGTATTTCTGTCCGTACCTTGCTCTTCCCCTGGCGGTATATTGTGAAAACCTGTTCATGTCAATAAATAGACTTCTACAGCATATTTTGAGTCGTGCACTGTTTTTCTTAGGTGTACAGATGTCATGTAGCCACCCGCCTTTTTCTTGTCTTACTTTCTAGTGTACATACACACAGCTTTATTTGTTTAAAAAATGGAGAGTGTGGTGTCCGGCATGTCCCCTCTTAGTTTAGTTTCCTAATTGAGCATTACACATGTTTTTTATTGTCATAGCTTTGCTGGGGATGTAGCAAACACGTTGGCCTGCGATCTTCATGGCTCTCAGCTCGAAATCACCAGCTGCTCCTTGCGAGAAAGACCGGCTTTTTAGTCCTTTAAATAGTAACACACAGGGGTGCTGTGAGTCAGCAGGGACTTGATGCCTGTGAGGGTTTTTTAATTGAAGTATGAATAGGAATTAACCTGCTTATATTTGGTACATTTAGACATGTGTGTACATGCTTGAAAAACTTCACTACAATGAACATTGGGACCCTATACTTCATCCCTAACCGCTTCTACATGTCTCTTGCTCTTGTCGTCCTTTGGCTTAATACTCTTTACATAAGATCACCAAATAGTATCCCATTCCATAGTTATAGCACATTTACTTAGTTCCTCTGTTTACCTGTTGATGGCCATTTGGGGTTGTTTCCAACTTTGAAGATTACCAGAGCTACTACAATTTGTGCACATATATTTCTGCTTCTCCTGGGCAAATAAGAGTGGAATGG